AAACAAAATCATATGAAGCATACAACTTACAATAGAATACTATTTCTTATAAGTTTAAAAATGGTTATAAACTGAAAACCAGACTACTGTTTAAAAATAGTAGTCTTAATTAATTTTTGACAACTATGGCAGCAAAAACTATATTTTTAGATGAAACGGACTACTAATAAAAGACTACTGTTTCTCACAACTTTAAAAACAGTTCTACCTTTAGTTCATAGACTACTATTACAAAAGAGTCTTCTATTCCCATTAGAAACAACAATGGCAAAAAACCATATGAAACAGACAACTAGCGATAGATAACTATTTCTAATAAGTTTAAAACCAGTTCTAGACTAAAACACCAGACTACTGTTTAAATAGAGTATTCTTAACTTGTTATTGACAATTGTTGTAACAAAAACTGTATTTTGAGCTGACACAGACAACTAGTGATAAATACCGTTCCTCGAAACTTTAAAAACATTTTTAAAGCATAATATCTAGACTACTGTTCAGTAGCTAAGAAAAATGCACAGTAGTCTGTTTTTTTAAACTACTGTGTTTCTATAAACAGTAGTTAATTAACAGTCGTCTGATACTGTTTTTGGCGTAGTGTGGGATCAAGTGTCTTGAAGATGGCTGCTTTGGCGACGTTGTCTAGATTGTGCTTCTTGCCATCTCTATCATCCCATTTCTCCTTGGGCTTTAGAATGTACTAGACAACATCAGGATTGGCTGGATTCCTCTCGGGATTCTCCATTTGAATTTTCAGGGGTCCATCCTCAAGCACCATCCACATGCAATCATGTAGAGCGTAAAGGTGTGCTTCCATCATGATCTTCCAATCATCATAACCTAGAAGAGAAAACTTGGGCAAACCGTGATCCATATTGTTCACCATTATGATCGCTTATCGTTAATCTAAATGTAGATAGTGAGAAGTGTGCTCTGATACCAATTGGTGGTCCCAAAGTGGTGAGACACAAAGTCTGGAGGGGGTGAATAGACTTTGTTACAACTTAAAAACTTTTTCGTTTCTTTTGAAAACGTGAAAATGAGTGTTTATTCTAGAGTTCTTGTGAACCTTACATTGTGTGCAGAAGTTGGTGGGTTATTAGAGCAGTAATCAATATGGATGGGTTAGTTTCACAGTTAATATAATTACAAGTATGAGTAAAGATAAAAGAGAGAGAGAGACACACAAACTTTAACGAGGTTCGAAGGTGGGGTAATCCTACTACGTCCTCAAAATCCACTACGTAGTTGGTTGTTGAATAATGAACCAACAATTACACTTGTGTGAATTTCTGCACGGTATATCTTCGCAAGGCCAATGTTGCTACTGCACTCGTGCTGGCTTTTTTGTTCCTTCGAAGGTCACGCTTCTTCAACAACTGCAAGATCCGAACAATAGGACTTGCAAGATCAACTTGTAAGAAAGTTGATGTACCCCCTTTTTAATCAAGAAGTTTGATTAAAAGTTGTATCCTTCAACGTAGTGTGGTACTTGAGGCAAGAAAACCTTCAAGTGTTTACACTATAGCTCTTTGGAAGGAGGAGAAGTTTGCTTCTGGATAAGGAGTTTAGAAATCTCTCTTTATCAAGCTCTTTGGCTAACTGTGAATGAGATAGCTTTGTTGTAGTTTTCTTCGTTGTAAGTATTTCGAGCTTTCTATATCATCATGCTTTCTCCAGTCTTCCAAGGTTGCTATTTATAGCTGGATTGGATAATCTATCCGTTGAATCAAAATAGACTATCCGTTGCATTTGCTGCCTTCAATTTTGAATAAAGATTGTGATTGAGGATTCCTCATTGGAATGGGTGTTTGGACATATCCAATTGTTTGAGGAGGGATTCCTTTTTCCACAGAATCCGTCTTCTAGCTGTTGTTCAAGAATTCTGGACTGTAGCTCTTTACTCTGTTTGTCTTCTAGTGCTTGATTAGGAATTCTGGACGAGCTCTTTAATCTCAGGGGTCCAGACTTTGTCTTCAAGTCATTTGTTCTTGAATCAGCTTAATTATCTTCAATCTAGCCGTTGAAAATCAAGAGATTGATTTTTCCTTACCAACGGGTAGAATTTCTTCATTCAAGACTTAGAATTTTTCTAAGTCTTTTCTCACTTGTCCGCTTATGAGAGTTCCGGTCTTTTCTTGAGGCATCCGGTTCTTTCGCTGACAAATCCGCAAGAGTCATTCACAAACTTCCGGGTGAGAAAGAGATCCGCGCTAGTCTTCCGATTTGGATGACTTAGCCTTCAGCGGGTTATAGCGAGACATCCGGTTATCATGTAGTGTTCCGGATTAGAGGATCTTCAATTGCTTTGAGAAATCCTTACTTGTGTCTGACGTTTCCGATCAAGATATCCAATATCCATATCACAAAATTTTATTAAGTCTTCAAAGGTCAAACCACAGAGTGAAATATCACAACTTTATTGGAAATCTCAAGAACTCGGTTTTAACATTATTTTCTAAAAAGAAAAAATTACATTGAATATTGGGGGAGACCTAAAGTCCATATTACAATCTAAATACATCATCATCAAAATCTATAATATTTTTTCCCAACACATCATATCGAACCTGATATATTAGAACAAATCAGACAAAACAGATCTAATCGGATCAAATCAAATTCATGTCCAATAAGACCATATCAAATCTCTAAAAACATATATTTACTTGTTTACGTTGTGTCCTATTTACTTGATTTAATCTTTAAAAGCATCGGATCGGACCTAATTCAATCAAAATAGATCAAAACAGATCTAATGGGATTAAATGAATTTCGAATCTAATAAGATGATATCAAACTTTCACAGGAAACATGTTTACTTGTATAGCTTGTGTCCTAATTGCGTGATATAATCTTTAAATGCATCAATTCAAACAAAATAGATATAATTGAATCAAATCAAATTCATGTCTAATAAGACTAGATCAAATCTTCAAAAAGATCTATTTACTTCTCTACGTTGTGTCCTATTTGCCGAATCTAATCTTTAAATATGGGTATCTTGTGGAATTGACTCTGTGAGTAAAAAAATCAATTAACAAAAAAATGTGCAACTAATTTATTATTTTATTATTATAATGGTAAAAGTTAGGTATTTTGACTATTTATTTTTTGGAAACCCATCACGTACTTTCATGAAAATAGTTTGGTTTAATTCGGGATATAATTTGTTAGAACCATTTGAAAATCACTTTTCGGTTCGATACATTATCGTTTCAGTTTGAAACAATATCGAATCGGTATTTTTGCGTACCCCTAATTGAAAGTCTTACATAAGAGTGAGAAAATTTATGGACCAAAAAACATTTTTGTTTCAAAAATCACATTGCTGATGGGTACCCTCAGTTTTGTGATAAAGACTATCAGGTACCCTTCATTCTAAAAATATACTACGAGGTACCTCTGATTATTCAAAAACTAACCAGGAGGAGATTTTTTATCCATTCTTCAATTCTTCTATTTGCTCCGTTACTTTCTTCACCCATCACCATCATCTTCTCCTCTTCCTCCTTTTTCTTCTTCTTACTTTTGTTCTTTAAGTATATCATCCGCCGACTCCTATCCAGATTCCAGACCCCCCCCCCCACCATTTCCCCTTTTTTATTTTTCTATTATTATACTTACTAATGCCCAACCAAAAATTTAGTAATAGTATAATTAATTACTTATTATTAAAATTAATTAGTAGTTTTACTACTCTAGTTCTAAAAAAATACTAATGCCCCACCAAAAATTTGTATACTCCTAATAGCCTTTCCCAATCTCCACTTGTGTAAAAAATTAAAACATTTTAAATTTTTAATTAAAAATTAGTTTTGATAATCAATTTTTGTATAATTTATAAATTTGAAATTCTTACTCCGTTATGTACTTAGATATACAATATATGGAGTACATTTTAATTTACAATATAAGAAGAAATTTAACATTATTTTTTTCGTTAATATTTACGTACTATCTCTGTCTCGAAATGATTTAGACTTTTACTATTTGAGTGTCTCGATAAATTTTATTTACTAAGGTATTTTCATTAGTAATTTGACAACATAAAATATCTTTGTTGCATGTATTTTATAGAAGTTTTGATGGTTTTTATAACACGTAATTCGTATTTTTTATTTTTATATCAATTTAAAGAAAAATCTTATTTAAAAAATATGAAATTTTACACATTGTTTGAATAGCGTAAATGAATTTAGGACGGAGTATAATATATAACTAAATAAATATCATAGTAAAGCATTTTAAATTTATAAATTATACATTAATACATCACAAAAACTATTTTTTAGCTAAAGATTTAAAATGTTTAGTCTCCTTTTATTCAAGTGGAGATATGGAAAGATTAATGGGGGTACAACTTTTTTGGCGGGCAAATTAGTACATTTGTTTAAAAAATTATAGTAGTAAAACTGTTAATTATTAATAATAATAATAACTATTACTCCCTCCGTCCTATAATGATCTTCCCGGTTCGCAAAACGAAGAAAAATCCCAAGTTTTTTCAATCTATTTTATTTAAATATTGGTATAGAAATAAAAAATAAAACATACATATTTAAAAAGTACATCAAAAGTTCAACAAAACAAGTGGTGACAAGAATATTTTATTTTATCATATAGGCCATGAAAAAACACAAATAAATATAAATTCTTGTGAAGTTGGAATAGTGCTCTGGGAAGATAATTATAGGACGGAGGGAGTATTATAGTAGTAAAACTATTAGTATAGTAATAATAATAACTATTATTATAGTAATAATAATTATAGTAGTAAAACTATTAATTAATAATTAATAATAATAATAGTAAAACTACTAATTTATTTTAATATAAGTAATTAATTATAATAATGAAAAAAATAAAAAAGGGGGAATGGTGGGGGGGTCTGGAATCTGGATGGGAGGCGGCGGATGAGGATAACTAAAGAAGAAAAGTAAGAAGAAGAAAAGGAGGAGGAGAAGATGATGGTGATTGGTGAAGAAAGTAACGGAGCAAACGGAAAAATCGAAGAAAGTAATTAGAGATACCTGGTAATATATTTTTAGAATGAGGGGTACCTGATAGTCTTTAGCAATTTTTTGAATATGTACCCTCAATTTCTCAATTAGGCCTATCGCCTCAATTTCCATCATCTTCTTCAAAATCACAACTCTTGTATGATAGAGAACATCTATCACAGGTTGTGGATCGCTGGGCAGTCTCCATAAGTTACTATTCACTGCCGATCTTAAACCCTTGCTTTCACCCTGAATTTGTTGAACTTTTGGACCAATTCTTAGAGCTCTAGAATCGTTTTGGGCATGGCAATCCATTGGGCGCTGGATTGATCAAGAATCGCAGGTCAACCTTCTCGAGTTACTGTTCATCTGCGACTCTTGAAGGTTCAATTCACCTCGGTCCAAGCTTGTTTGAAGGCCAATTTTGGGGGGATTATGGGCGACTTGGGATGCTCTTTCAACACCTGAAATTGGTTTTCCAAACCGGTTGAAGGAAGCTGCGAATTGAGCAAAAATTTTGGAGAAGAAGTCACTGTTCATAGCGAGTTCTTGAAGTCCAGGTTTACCCATGCTTTTTGCTCGTTTTCCATCCCATTTTCTGGTATTGTGTTCGTGATTCAAGGGCCATTCAACGTCTGGTTTTGGAATCCTAATTCAAACAACTTGATTTTGGTCTCTTTGATTTGGTTGCTCGAGTTACTGTTCACGTTCTAGTGTACCTTTGCGGTGTGCAGTTTTGCTACTCGTCTAGCTTTTATTGCTTGGGCTGGTGATTTTTTTCAGAAGGCACTATGAGAGTTAGATTTGAGTCTTCATGTGGCAGTATGAGAGTTAGATTTGAGTTTCTGATTCTAAATACGGAGTATTTAGTTAATTCTCTAAGCTTTATACTTTATTTCAAAAGGATTTCATAATTGAAAATTGTTTTTGTTCTTAAAAAGTTATTTCAATGTCTAGCTAGCAAATAAAATTTGGACAATGAATTGGTTCTCTACTTCACAATCTGTAACTTTAGATTGTTACTTTGCATAGTATGTTTAAGTTTTTTTCTTCTTTATACTATAGGCATTACCTTTATTTGTTGATTCAAAAGTAGACAATTCTAACTATATATATTTTTTGTGCTTATTTGTGGCTATTTGAATTCGAGAATTTGTATGCAAACCAAAGTGAAAAAAGAACATGAGCTTCATAAATCAGAATCAAGATTCTGCATATTCTTTTGCAGAGTGTGACGAAGTTTGTCACATATGCTACTGTACTGCCTTTTTGTTTGTGTTCGAAAAGTGTTTCATTACTGAATTCAATTTGGGAACTAAAGCTTCAGTGCTCACTTGTAAGTTGTAATTTGCGTGAAGGGACTTTAATTTGGGGTTTTACTTTGGGCCTACGTTGTAGCCTCATGTCTTTTTCAATTTATTTTGGTGGTTTATCTTCTCTTTTTGGGAGAAACCTTTCGTTTTAGTTTTGATGATGATTTGTGGCTAAGAAGCAGCGAGGGGAAGTTTTTTAAATTCTTCTCATTAGAATTAGTCAAATGATACATCTAATGAGTATTTTGTTCAATCCTTCATATATAGGAGGGGGCACACGTTCAATAAAATGGCTCACCTTCCAGCAAGGCAACTTTTGCAGTACGGTCCAAGGAAGCTTCTGAACCTATACTCCAACCAAGGATATAACTTCTGTGGATGTCCCTCCTGATAATACTAAGGATTGTTTGGTGTCTCCTGAAACCGAGAAGGCTGTTTTGACCACTAGCAAATTTGTGATAACTTTGGATGACGGTGTAACTGAATAGGTTGATGCTGCTTCTTTGTCTTTGATTGGTAATGATGTTCCAGTAAGTATATATACTACTGACACAGGGATATTTTGACTTAAACTCTAATCCCTCGCCCCCATAATTAAATTTATACAAACAACTAAGTAGGCTTCTTTGATAACTTATGAATCTAGGAGTAAATTTCCTCTCATTAAAACTTTTTAATGAAGGTTTTTCTTTCTTTAACTACAGCTTTTACTCTCATTAAAGGACATATTTCTTGTAGTGTTTGTTCATGAAGCTGTAATGGTATTGTTAAGAGAAATAGGACACAATCAGCTACGTGGAATGGTTTTCTGTGGCATCACTGGGTTTGGCTAGACTACTTCGTTGGAGAGCCACCCAAAGCTGCTGTTGGCAAATCATGATCTCCAGTGCTGCCATTTTCGAATAGCATACTCCATTGTGCTGTTTGTTTACTGAACTCAGTCTTCTTGAGGGATGGGATGGCACACATATGTTGCTGGCAGACCAACTTATTCCTTGCACTAGGTGACTTCTGTTTGCTGTGGTTTGGTCTACCACTACCCGTTCCTTTCATACATTGGTCCCTGGTTTTGGTCTTCCAACTTAAAGGAGATGGTGGTCTCTTTCTGCTTTGGGTTTAATTGCTGCTTTGGAATTGTTTTGAAGCTGCTGCTGCGCAGAACTTGGAGTTGCTGTGCAATAACCAGAGGATCTGTTGCATGATGGCGCTGCTGTGCTCCTGCTGCTACCACTGAGCTACTGCCTCGAGGACGTGCTGATGTTCACAGTTGGCATACAGGTGCTGCGTACAGGTTGAAATTGCACCTACTACTGGATTTTGCTACTGGATTTTGTTACTGCTTGGGATCTACTGGTGGTGACCATGGAACCTTCTACCTAGGCTGATTTATTGGATACCAAGGGCTGTGGATTAGCCTTTGGATGATGGAATTCTTGGATGTCATGATATGTTTATGTTATCTCACAAATGTATATATGTCATGTGCTTAACTATGAGGATGGTTTATGTGCCTACCTATACTACTATTGCTTGGGCTTGGGCTTGGTCTTAGTCATGGATTTCTTTGAGTTGGTCTTGTGAATTTCTTGGGAAATACACTGGAATGGGGTGATGATGTTGTTCCCTCTTCCACAAGCTAAATGGTCAAGCTTAAGTCATTGGGGAGAGTAAAACCATGGCTAAAAACCAATCTTTGTGTAATTGGCACTCCTACCTTGAAGATTTGGTCTTTATTCTTTAATTTGAGTAATTTGAGAATATGGATTTTCATTCTTTGTGTTTTTTTTGTTTTCTACTTTGGATTGAAGCAAGCCAATGTACTCTTAATTTTGATTTTAATAAATTTTGTATACTCTTATTTGCATCTCGCCATCTTCTTATTATTTTTTGGTTTTATGATGTGAGACTGATTGCTTGTATAGGTTCTCAATTCCCTTTGTGTGTAGCGGGATAATACCCAGCCGTCCATGTATTTTTTCTTTTGTTTCAATGGAAGTGTTTATTTTTTCATGTCCATATAATTGTTTGAAATAATGTTTATTTGATTGTTGTACATATATTGTCCAAAAGTATGAAAGTAAAGTTAGAGAGCGTATCCATTTTCATTGTAAAAAAGATTACCATTACTCTGAACCTTTAAAATAGTTCTAGGCTTAAGAACTAGACAACTGTTTAAAATGAATATTCTTAACTTTTAAAATAGTTCTAGGCTTAATATGCATAATTGTCTTAAAAACTGTTTTCTTTACTTATTTTAGATAACCGTGAAAAAAAATGGTGTGACACACACTACTAGTAATACATTACAGTTTCTCAAAACTTTGAAAATAGTTCTAGGATTAATAGTGTTGGTCTTATGGGGGACCATCGATCACCCTTAGAGATTTGCTACTGTGCTAGTCACGGTATCGGGTACTGACAGCCCAACCTGACGAGGGACACGAGTCGTGTATCTTGCGAAGCCCCTCTTGTCCATCCACCGCTCAGTAGTGGGGCTCCGCAGTGCCGTAGTGAACTATAGGGGGTGCCCTATAGGAATCTACCTCGGCTTGGGGCTATAGAGAGATGTGGTTAAATACAAAGTGTCCACTTTCCTATCACCAATTGGTTTTAGGAAGCATTTGGCACCTCTTTAACTTCAGAACTCTGTAATTAAGCGTGCTGGAACATGAGTAGTCCCATGATGGGTGACCCACTGGGAGGTTCTAGAAAAACGATCCTACAAGTGGTATCGGGGCGAGGAAGCATGCTCGAATCCCCTGGGTGTCGCTGGGGGGGGGGGAGATTGTTGCTCTTATGGGGGACCATCGATCACCCTTAGGGATTCGTTACTGTGCTAGTCACGGTATCGGGTACTGACAGCCCAACCTGACGAGGTACACGAGTCGTGTATCTTGCGAAGCCCCTCGTGTCCATCCACCGCTCAGTAGTGGGGCTCCGCGCTGCTATAGTGAACTATAGGGGGTGCCATTTAGGAATCTACCTTGGCTTTGGGGCTACAGAGAGATGTGGTTAAATACAAAGTGTCCACTTTCCTATCACCAATTGGTTTTAGAAAGCATTTGGCACCTCTGGTAGAAGAAAAGATAGGTGCAGTCTGGTTTTGTGCTCCGATCGATGACCAAACGAGCTCCGATCGGGATGAAATTTTAGTATGTTGTTCCTCACATCCTCTTGTTCATATCCAACAGTGGGATTATTGTTTTGACCTCTCGATGGTGGTAAAATCGCCTCTGTTTACTGCTGCGTTTTCATTGGGGATTTCTCTGGTAGAAGAAAAGATAGGTGCAGTCTGGTTTTGTGCTCCGATCGATGACCAAACGAGCTCCGATCGGGATGAAATTTTAGTATGTTGTTCCTCACATCCTCTTGTTCATATCCAACAGTGGGATTATTGTTTTGACCTCTCGATGGTGGTAAAATTGCCTTTGTTTACTGCTGCGTTTTCATTGGGGATTTCTCACTTTTGAGTGAAGATTATTGTTGTTTGGTGTTCCAAGTTATTACTTGATGATTGTGTATACCTCTAACTGATTTAGAAAGGATTCTTGGTGTACCCACTGATTTTTCTTGGTGATTAGTGGAAGGCTTCATGGTTTTTTCCCGATTTGGGGTTTCCACGTTAAATCTTGGTGTTCGTTTATCGCTTGAGTGATTGCTTGTTGTTGTGTTTGCTATTCTTGATTGGTCATATGATTTTGCCCATTTTGACAACACAAAGATGATAAAATTATTAATTGCTTCCGCTAGAAAATTGAGGTGATTTTCCTTACACCTCCCCCCCAACAACTTTGTCAGCCGTCTCTATGCTTTCTTAAAGTTTCTCTCGTCTTTTTTTGAAGTTTTTATGTATTTATTTAGGGCCTATGGACTCCTAGGGAGAAGAAAAAAAAGAAATGGTGGTCAATGTGAAAAAATAAAAATTCTGATTTTAGAATTTGGCCCTAAGTGATTTGCTGGTCACCTCTTAATGGGCAAATGAATTTTTAGTGAAAAGATGGTAAAAGTACAGTTACTTTTGTGAAAGGTTTTGAAGTTGAGGTACCAAATCGAAATTTCTATGAAAGTTCAAGTATCATGTTTGAAATTTACGCGTCTAAAGTGTCAATCAAAGATTAAAAGTCACTCAAATTATTTTTGAGAAGAATTTGGTGACCTAAATTTCAACTTGCCAAAATTTGAAATTGGATAAAATTATTTGTAACCCAAGAATTTGTATCCCATTTTGTACACCGCAGAGATGTCCTCACATTTTGTCTTAGTGTAATGCTAATTTTTGTTAACAAATCAACACTTTGTATCAGTATAAATTTTTATTAACAAACCAAAATTTTCTATCAATGTAAATTATTAAAATATTAATACATACTTTTAGGGGGGTGTATTCAATCATGATTCTGAAGGATTTTTTTGGATTCTGAAAATCTATAGGTATTCAATTCAGATTTAAAAGAGTCATTTAAAATCTGGGTGTATTCAATTCAGATTTTAAAAAGTCTTTTAAAAACTGAATGTATTCAATTCAGATTTTAAAATATCTTTCTAAATTTAATGGTATTCAAAAATTAATAGACTTTAAAAGATTTTTATAAATTATGGATTTTGATGGATTTTGGGGTGTTAGGTATAAATTAAAATCCAAATTCAAATCTCACAAAAAATGTAGAGATTTTACTGACTCCACAACTGGTCTTTCATGGCCTTTCATCTACTTCGTCCTCTCCTTCTCGCTTTGTTCGCAGATTCTTCTTTTTTTTCTTCTTCTTCTATGGACTTTTGGACAAAGAAATAACTTAGATCTGGATATATTGCAGAGGGAGGGGTGTTTCGCCGATTGGTCGCGACAGACCAAGCGCCAGTTGATCGCGACGGATCAGGCGCCGGTTGTTGTGTGTCTGCGGCTATCTTTGGATGTTGACGGTGCTGCCAGGGAGGAGAGATGCGGTGCCGAATTGGTTGTGTATCTGTTGTCCAATGCGGCGCCGGTTATTACTGCCTTCACCGGTTCTGAGAGGTTGACGCGGAGAGATGATTGAGTGCTGGTCTGGAAGTATTGTTGGCCGCCGAGTGGGAATCGTAACTGACTTAAGGGATGACTTGAGTGTAGAATGGAGATCAAAATTCCAAAGAAATCCATGGAATCTATAAAATCAATAAAAAAAGTATGACAAACTCTACATGGAATATATGAAATTTCTAAATTCACTAACTTTTTAGAGTCTGAAAAAATCCAATACAATCTCAATTGAATACACCTCCCTTAGTGTAGAACTGAAGTATAAATTTTGAGTTACACATAGGCTCCTCAACATAAATCTTTAATGAAAGCAATGAAATTAGGGGGAAATGGAGTGTCGTCCAATTATACCGTACATCCGACTGTACGGGAAGAACCGTACATCTGGAAATTAATTAGGGCGAACGGTAGGTGACCTGCGCAAGAACGGCCGAATGGATCGGCCACGAAGAGGCTGCGCGACGATGAAGATGGAGGTTGTTGATGAAGGTCCGGAGGTTGTTGATGAAGATGGAGGTAGTTGGATTCCCTATCAATTCCGCTTCTGTTCGCGATGGTCTTCCGCCGCAAGATCTTTTCTTCCGCGAGTCTTCCACAGATCTTTTCTTCGCGATTGTCTTCCTCCGCAGCCACAAGAGAGGTAGGCTGTTTAAGATTATGAATGGTAGGTTGTTTTAGATTGAGTACTAGGTTATATGAGAATGAATATTAATGTGTTTTAGAATGAATATTATGTATTCGTAAATGAATATTGAACAAATTTGTAAAAATGAGTACGACGTTATTTCTGAATGAGTACTGCGTTATTTCAGAATGAGTACCACGTTTTTCAAATGAACACTTATGTTTGCGAGAATGAGTACTACTTTGGAATGCTATTCATTCTCATGTACCCTATACCAACTCCCAGCTCATCAAGTCCAAAGTGAAATTGACCAGTTCTGTTCTCATCCTGCAGACCCCAGCAACTCAAGCTAGAGGAGATGGTGAAGAAACCTTCAAAAATCTCATCCCGTTCTTCTACTCCAGCTCCTTCCAGTTCCCGTCCTTCGATTGGGGTCGGGAAATCGGCGAAAAAGCGAGATGCATTGGCTCTTGCATTGTATGTTGATGCGGAAAGTGGGCATTTGTCCGTGCCACTGAAAGTATTCTATCCCGATTCAGATTTCCCCACTCAGGTTAATGTGAGAAGATCAATGAGGGTGACTTCGAACAAATACAGGAGCGCGCCGCCTGCATTGCCCCCTGCCCGCTCTAAATCTGCTCCAGCGGGGCCGCTATTGCTGACTTCTCCTTCCCGGAAATCCGGATCAGAATTTAACAAGGAAAGGCAACGCTGCAATGGGGTGGCGAGTGACATGCAGAAGCGCTTGAGACCTAGAAAGACAGTGGTGGAGGTTGGAGTTCGGGGGAAACAAGTGGAGAAATGTGATCCTCAGAAACACATTTCTGCTTTAGGTGATAAACATGAGAGATCTCGACAGGGTAAGAGAAGTGATTCCGTGAAGAACACTTCAATGAAAGAGGCATTGGATGGTGAGGTGAAAATTGCTTCTATGAGAATTGGTTCTCATGAGAGCTTTTTTGAGAACAAATATTCCATTACTAGTGATGTGGTTACTAAAGATGAATGGATGGATCCTGTTTCAAGTGCATTAGCTGACACATCAGAAGAAAGCAAATCAGAGAAAAGAAATTCAGATACGGATGCAAATAGTGTTAAGTGCCTAAGGTCCCGAAAAATTAAGTTTGGATTGGTTTCACAACGTGCTGCAGTAAAAACATCTGCACTGGGTAATGCATGTG